ATCCATGTATGTTTGTAAATATGTCTGTCTGTCTGTCTGTATGTATGTATGTATGTTTGTATGTATGTATGTATGTATGAATGTAATGTTATGTAATGTGGTGTAATGTTATGTTATGTCACATTAAGTCGTGTAATGTTATGTTATGTTACATCATGTATGTCTGTCTGTATGTATGTATGTATGTATGTGATGTAATGTTTTTCACACTAAGTCATATAATGTTATGTTATGTTACATCATGTATGTCTGTATGTATGTATGTATGTATGTATGTATGTATGTGTGTATATGCGTATGTGTGTATGTGTGTATGTATGTATGTATGTATGTATGTATGTATGTATGTATGTATGTATGTATGTATGTATGTATGTATGTATGTATGATAGATATATAGATAGAGAGATAGATAGATAGATAAATAGATATAGATATATATATAGATAGATGGATAGATAGATAGATAGATAGAGAGATAGAAGGATATAGATAGATAGATAGATAAATAAACAAATAGATGGATAGATAGATAGACAGATAGAAGCATCGATCGATAAATAGATAGATCGATAGCTAAATAGATCGATAAAAAGATAGATAGATAGATAGATAGATAGATAGATAGATCGATAGGTAGATAGATAGATACATAGAAGGATAGATTGATAAATAGATACATAGATAGACAACTAAATAGATAGATACATGGATAGATAGATGGATAAGGAGGTAAGTACATAGTCAGAGAAAAAGAAAGAAAGAGATGCGGACCAGGGGGGAATCGAATGGGGGGGGGGCCCCCCCCCCTAAGTCTCCGTTCGTGACTCTCGGCTCTCAATTTCCGGGAAAGGACCACCCACCTCCCCCAGTACTAAACTAGTACTGGCTTTTGACTTGCTGGCCCCAAGTACGTCCATGTCAGCTATGTTGGGCCTACATATCTTGGAATCATCTTGCAAGGGCCTGGTCCAGGCCTGGGTGCCTGCCTGTTCTTATGCCCACCGGGCGTAAGCGCAGGCGGGGCTTTGGCAGCGCAGGTTTGGCAGGGTAAAGGCTGTTTTTTCACCATTTTAGGCCCAAAACCTGTTCGATGAAGGGCCTGCCTGTTCTTATGCCCGGCGGGCATAAGCGCAGGCGGGTGAAAAGGAGACATTTCATCCACAGGATTGTTTTGCCGTGGATTCCCATGAGAAATGGAAATTTCATCCATGGAATGGAGCCAGTTTGCAATGAAATGGCCAATTTGAAATGAAATGGAGCCAGTCTGGGGTAACTGGGGGTGTAAGCCAAGTACATAGACGACAGTCCATTTGGATGACTTAGTAAACCAGAGCTATGAAACATTATAAGTGGTATGACGTGTCCAGTGTTGCTTTCTTGCTTGGCTGTGACGAATTCAGAGCCAACAAATGCCCCACAGAATTACGACCGAGTTTGTGAGCTGAGTAGAAAAACTCGGTCGTAATTTTTTTTTCCTTCTACAATGCCCGAGAAAGGATTCTAGGTGTATGTTGCAGACCATGGGGCCAGTTGACTATGGCCACTAACCAGATAACTCCTTTGTATCCATGTATGTTTGTAAATATGTCTGTCTGTCTGTCTGTCTGTATGTATGTATGTATGAATGTAATGTTATGTAATGTGATGTAATGTTATGTCACATTAAGTCGTGTAATGTTCTGTTATGTTACATCATGCATGTCTGTATGTATGTATGTATGTATGTATGTATGTATGTGATGTAATGTTTTTTCACACTAAGTCATATAATGTTATGTTATGTTACATCATGTATGTCTGTATGTATGTATGTATGTATGTGCGTATCTGCGTATGTGTGTATGTGTGTATGTCTGTATGGATGTATGTATGTATGTATGTATGTATGTGCGTATGTCTGTGTGTATGTATGTATGTATGTATGTATGTATGTATGTATGTATGTATGTATGATAGATATATAGATAGAGAGATAGATAGATAGATAAATATATATATAGATGGATAGATAGATAGATAGATAGAGAGATAGAAGGATATAGATAGATAGATAGATAGATAGATAGATAAATAAACAAATAGATGGATAGATAGATAGACAGATAGAAGCATCGATCAAAAAATAGATAGATCGATAGCTAAATAGATCGATAAAAAGATAGATAGCTAAATAGATCGATAAAAAGATAGATAGATAGATAGATCGATAGGTAGATAGATAGATACATAGAAGGATAGATAGATAAATAGATACATAGATAGACAACTAAATAGATAGATACATGGATAGATAGATGGATAAGGAGGAAAGTACATAGTCAGAGAAAAAGAAAGAAAGAGATGCGGACCAGGGGGGAAATCGAATGGGGGGGGGTTTGAAGAGGGGCCCTAGCGTCTATTCAAGATCAGCTAAGGCTTCTTTCCCCAATGACAGCACACTTTAATATCAGGCTGTTGCAGGTCAGTGCTTGTTACAGGGTATCTTATACCTCTTGGCCTTTGAAGGGCGGCATGGTTGTGTTAAATGTGCTTCACTATCATGAATGTACCTATTGTAGGTATTAGGTCGAAACAAAAACAACAGGCACAAATTCAAAAGCAATGAGTAGAGCACTACGCCTTGCCGTACCCAATTGGTATTAAGAGTATCTTCCTGACTTCTCTACACAATGGCAAATAGCAAAAGAAACCGGAGTTACGCAGTGTCTTCGAATTGAAACATGTGAAAGCAGCGAATGTCCTAAGGACATGTCGAAAAAGAACAGCGGATTCGCTATTTTTTTTTTTCCAGTAGTGACCAATGGTGCTTCGCGCACGGTCTCTCCATAGGCAAAATGCCTCGCTCTACCGGTGAAGGTTCGAATTGAAAAGTTCGGGTTTGCAAGATTCAGAAATTCAGGTCATACGAAAAACAATTGACCAAATCACGAAATAAACGGAAATAGCGGATCTCCAAAGTTGCTCATTCAAGCGAACAATGGACAGAAATCGAAGTTGGTAATTTTTGGAGTTCGCTCCATTCGGAGTGGTTTGCTCGCAGAAAGTTTCATGGAGATAAATGTGTATAGTATCTCTATGTACAAGAGTATCTATTTTACATTAAATTGAAGTTCAGACACTTGTGGCATTTTCTCTATCTCAAAG